ACTATATCTGACAGTATTCTGGTGCTCTTCATCATGTTTCAATATTCAATAATCTGGTGCTGACAGTGTTCCATTGCTATTTATAAGGTTTTCAGTAACTAAATATTCAGAAGTAGCCTGTTTTTCCTTCTTCCTAGTCTGTCTTTGTCTGGAAGCTCATCTGAAACCTGTGCACCATGGGTGACCTTGCTGGTATTTAAAATATCCGTGATATAGCTTCCAGAATCACAACTCACAAGACACTACAATACGACAAACTGACCGACGAATAGTGGTCCCTATAGATAGATCTTTAAAAAAATAAGGCTCAAAGCATTCTTTAACTAGTTGTCAACTTGAGTGAATTTTTTGCTTTTATTTAGACTTCAGGGGATATATTTGGCTTAAGGTCTAAAGATTATCTAAAGGCTATAGCTTCAGATCTTTTTGTTTTTTTACTAATCATAAAGATCAGTTGTTAAAACCGTCATTAGTGCTTTTGTACATATACAGTGCCAAAAATTGTAAAATCACAATGACATTGTCCACAAGAGACAATGCACTGGAAAGAAGAACAGCATACAGATAACAGGAGTAGTGAAGTTTTCCTTTCTGCTACTTAGGATTGTGTTTGAATGTTTTTCAGCTGGCCCTCTTGCTGATCCATTCTTCCCACGGACCACACAGATACTTTTGGAATATCACCTAGGGAGATGGGTCCCACGTCTTCGTGAACCACGAGACCTCTATGGCGTCTCTTCCTCTGGCCCTCTGAGCCCAACACGGTGGCCATACCACTGCGAAGTCATAGACGAAAAAGTCCAGCACATTGGTATGCCCTTAGCGCTTTCTGAGATTCAGACATTAGCAAGCTTACTCTACCAAATTTGACATGAATAATGAGATTCCTGATGTTAGAATAGAGCATTCCAATAGCATTCTAACCTGAGACAAACACAGTCTCAAGTGTTCTAGTAGTGCCATTTGAAAGGCTAAATTCAAACATGTTGGGGTCCTGCCTCGACAAGGGAATTTGGTTCACGAAGTAGGGAGACCTGGCGGTGACAGAAACAGAAAAAAAGTACACACAAAGACGCAATGAGAGAGACAAAGAGACACCCCGAAACTAGAGTGGATGCAAAACTGGTGGGCAGACCCTGGACTACAGGCATTGTGGCCCCTGCAGGCAGTAAATGCACCGCCTTGCAGACCATAATACATGCGGGCTTCAGTCTGCGCCCCTTTTTATTTCAGGGTGGGACTTTACACAAAGGCAGAAGGGGATTATTAAGACAGGGTACAGAAATGAAATGTGATTAATCGTTCAAAACAGGACACCATGATTTACAGGAACAAATTCTAAAACATACATCACAAATTGTTTTGATAATCTAACATCCTTAATTTTCTAGAAATTCAAGCAAATTGTTATAAATTACTTTTTAGGTTCAAATCCCAAG